TAGGAAGAAAATTAACTGTATCCCAGCCAAAACCAGGACAGGCTCCTACGAAAATGTTGGATTCAAAAGGTACTGCTCCATTCTTTTTTGGTCTGTTCAAGCCTGTTGCAGCAGCTCTGTTCTTGTTCGTCACAGCTCTTGCAGAACCTATTTAATATTCTGTCTGAGTTACTCTACATTAGTATTATTTTAAGTGACAAATATGAAGATAATAATGTTGAATACAACCTAGTATCACCAAAACTGTGCCTTCCATTCCCATTTTTGTTTCAGCATGCACAAATGGACCTTAAAAACCTCCTCAGGAAATGGAATAAATCTGCAAGAAGCTAAGAGAATACATGTGGAAGCACTCACTTTGTGCTAACCCTATTATATTTTTCCTTAAAAATCTGCTGATGATTGTCAAAGACAAGGAAGCAGCCAAACAAACACTTTGAGTAATAAGGTATCATAAAATAAAGTTGTATTTTTTTAACTCATCACTGAAAAGTGTTCTTTCAACCTTAAAATATGTAATATACTGTGGGCCATGCAAGTCTTATTTACAATGCACAGCTCTGAAAATGGCACATTCCACTGTACTGAAATTGCGTAGCACATTCTTCTTCAGCTACTGCGTAAAAGGAAATTGGCTACTGAATCAGTAAACCAAACCAGTTAGGTAGCCAGAAAAATTTGGCTAATCGCAGTGCTAGGAAGGATCTGTGCGGACACCACTGCTACAAGCCGTTCCTCAATCTATATGTATATATATAATACCATAAACTAAATATGCCAAGTTTTAACAGTTATTTTTCTTAATGAAAAACTTAAGTCTGCGTATTGTGTCAAAACTGTTTCAGTTCTAAATCTTTACCAAGCCATGGTAAGAGCCAATCATCAGTTGTTTCAAATATGAAGAAATTAGCGCTTTGTTCTCAAAGCATTGATAATATTGTTTTCTATGGGGGAAGGGATGTGGGATGTTTGATTCTCTAGTAGAGTTTACTGCAACACGGTATCCTGAAGCAACAGAAAAGATGTCCAAGCCTTTTCAAAAACTGAGGTAGCCCCATCTCTATCAGACTCTTTTACCTCTGCAAATGGAGGGGGAAAAAAGAAAAAAAAAAAAGTTACAGGCAAAAGATCATGTATTGATTTTTCAGGGGAACACTTGCTAGTTATTTAAGAATAAATGCAGTACAGTACAAATATTAAACAAACTTCTACAAAACAGGACCAGAATGATTTCCTGCTTCTGCGCATAACTTGTGTAATTGATGCATTTATATGCGTTAAAGCAGATGTGGGGCTAGAAACACTTATCTGTAGATATGCAAGTTATTTTAAATCCTGTTTTCACAAAGTTTTTTCACTGTGCTGATAACAGACAGACATGGAGACATCACTGTAACCAGACTTAAGCAACTTGCATACCATTATATTTAACCTCTGCCTTAAATCAGGGTATGCTATTTACAATTGTTCTTGAAGCCCACAACTGGACAGAGACAAAAAAATACTAAAATAAAAAAAAATGTGTTTTATTTTCAGCTTTAAAGATGCATCTCTAAACAATCTGTAGAAAAAACAAGTAAAAAAAGTAAACACCAGCATTTTGTAAAATCACATTGAACTAATACAAGATAATGCAAAGTTTTCATATACCACTCAAATGCAGTTTAAAAAAAAAAAAAAAAAAAAAAAAAAAAGAGTAGTCTGGTCTCCAAGACCCCTTCTACTTGAAATGAATCATTAAGAACCCACAGATTTTAACTATAAAACAAGGATACATTCTTTCTTTTTTCTTCCATTTATGAAGTCAATTGCCACACACTTCGATCATTTGCAAGTGAAATTCACGTAGCCTCAGTTACGGAATTCAAGAGAACACATACAATTCCATGATTGAAGTTCCTCCATTTTCAGTGTAGGCTCTTTATCAAGTCAACACTCATCACATATCTTTAGACTGATCATCTTCTTCAAGTTTTCTGATTTCATTCTTTAAACAGTTGATGGTTTCACGACTTGCTTTTAGTCTTTCTTTAAGCTCAGCAATTTCAAAACTAGTTTTCTTTTTGGCAGCTTCCAGCTTTTCCCTGGTTTTCACTTCGAGATCTGCAACTGTGGTGGTGATAAAGAAAAACAGATATTGCAAGTACCATGAAAAGATTAATTTTTTTTTTTTTTTAATTGCAACAGTAGTTTGGATGGTGTGTGTCCTGAAAAAGTCTATTACTGTTAGCTTTAGACATCCAATGACAGTAGTCAAAAATGTATCAAACACACCCCTCCCGGGGAATTAAAAGGAAAAAAAAAAAAATAGAAAAAAAGAAGTTTGTTTTGTGGCCTCATTCAGCCCATCAATTTTGTGGATGGAGTTATATAATTCACTATATCATTTTCCACAGTTTTTTTAAAGATTAAGCAGGAAAAAAAAACCTGACATGGTGACAGCAAATAAATGGGAGATTACAGAGAATTACAGATAATTTATATGTGGTGCCCAGTGACAGCACGTGAGGCCATGGGCACAAACTGAAAGACACAGAAGGTTCCCTCTGAACATCAAGAAAGGCTTTTTACTGTGAGGGTGACCGAGCACTGGCACAGGCTGCCAGGGAAATGGTGGAGTCTCATCTGGAAAGGCATTCAAAAGCCATCTGGACACTGTCCTGGGCCACCTGCTGTAGGTGGCCCTGCTTGGGCAGGGGGTTGGCCAAGATGACCTCCAGAGGTGCCTTCGCACCTCAACCATTCTGTGGTTCCTTTTCCATGTACTGTAACCACTTTCTACTCTCCATCTCATTGGAGTTTAATTCTCTGTATCTAAAAGATTTGGTGTTGCTGCCTTTGCTTTTATGAATATCTGACATTAGGACATCTCAATCTGGTTTACTGAGTTGTCTTTTTTTTTTTTTTTAGTTGTTCATGCACAAGTTTTTGGAAGAAGCTGCTAAAGCCAACAAATCTATGGAGGCCACAGATATCCCTTCTTATACATTACATAATTGTGGGCAGTAGCAAAAAAAAAAAAAAAAAATCTTAATTTCTATCTGCTTCAGCAGCACACTTTAAGGAAATATATAAAAAAACCCGCAACACTAAAAATTTCTATCTATGCTCAGGAGAAACATCCAGGAATTTTAAGTGAGAAAAGATTAAATTCGGACTTTTTTACAATTCAAATTATTAAACATTTTCTACATGTAAACCATAACAACATGCAATATAACAAAAATCCACCTCAAGACTGGCTAAGTAGCTCACCTGTCCACGCAACTGAACAGATGTAAGGCAAATCAGAACCCTAACTTTGCAGACCTTCAAACTCATAACCACTCTTAGCTCTAGGTATTCACTGTCTAAAAATACCTGACATTAGTTGTCAGGGGAACATGCACATAAGCCAAAGGCTTATCTGTAGTCTGAGCCAGACTACAATGGCATTAGCGTCTGTAACTAACAAGGTGGGATTTGGGCTCAATAAATAGCACATTTGCTTTCTGAGAGTAGAAGGTAAGAGATGAAATTCAGAAGATTAGAACAGAAACAGTCATTAAATGCATTAAATTTTATGAATCCATGTATTTTCATTGCATTTCTTTAATGTCCTTACTATTCTGGTTTATATTTAAAGACAGATTAGATAAGGACACAAAGAACGTTAAAGCTATACTTAAGAAGTGTTATGAAATGGCCTACAGTTAAAGAATTAGAAGGGAAAAAGACAGGAACAGCTTTCAGACACTACTCTATCCCAAAAGGGTTGCTCCTTTGACTAAAACCACTAACTGTTCCGTATTTCAGTGCTTAAAGTGTGATCCTTGCTTGCAGTTAACATCCCAATGAGCTGAACAGCACTTTATCACAAACACAGTGGCCTTAAGTTATCCTGTTTTAACTCATTTCAAAGATGTTAAACTAGACATAGATCATGCCATCACTCTTCACACTGAGTTATCTGTAATTCTTTCAGCAGGCATACAGATCAGAAAATGTTAAAAATTTTCAAGTATTATTATCTTCGTAGAAGTTGAAGCTAATTTAACGCAAAAATATAATTTTTAGCAGCATCCAAATCCATTGAACTGCTACAGCCCAGAAAAAACAAAACCAACTGTTTATTTCTAAAATGAAAATATTTTAATTTTCAACTTACATTCTGTTTCATGCTTATAAGCACCTAGCGTTAGCTGACGAGACGTTGTTAAGAGCTGCTGCATCATTGCAGTAGGATCTTGAAATATCTAACGAAGGAGAAAAATATGTGGTATCACTAATACTCTTCAAAATAAAGTGAGGATTACATTAAAAATTTTCATACCATTTCATCATAGAATTCAGAAACTACAGTTTTCTTTCCCAGGATGGCATTGGTATCAGACTGAAAAAGCTTCAGCAAGTGATACAAGGTTACCTAGACAAAGACAGAATTTTATTAGCTTGACAATTGTAGGGAAATCTAGATATCAACAAGTAGTATCTGTTCTTACTAAACGATTGTACAGGATTTAAAAATCTTTTAGGGATGCAAAAAATGAAGGTCATATAACTTCAGTAGAATTACTTAAACTTAATATTCAGTGTTAAACACACCAACTGTCCAAAGGCTTCTTGAGACAAGTGGGCAAGTGGTTTAGGATTGGTGTACAAAAACTACTAAGAAGACCTTCTCGTAAGCATTTCCAAATAGATGACTTAGTTCAAGCCGACTTTCCCAATTAATCAGTTAGAAAGCGCTTTCTGTGACCTCGTCATCCCTTCTTGTGAAGGAAAAACACCAGTGAATAGCTTTTCATTGAAATTTCTCTCTGTGGAGTTACTCTTCCATTCTTGCGCTGCACATGGCAGGAGCTGGAGAGGAACAGAAGCCCTCTGTCCAGCCCCGAGGGACCGCTGACCACACGGACCATGGCCTGGGAAGAGGGCACGCAGCCCACAGTTCTTCCCTGGCACAAACGGGCTCATGAATGGTCACGGAAGAGAGGGATGGTGCCTTACTCCGGTTGGTCCTTCCTGGAAAGGAAGAACACGACAGGCACCGAAACAGCCTTCCAAGAACAGCAGGGAAAAAAAAAAACAAAATAGCACCCAACCAACTTCAGGACAGCTTGGTCAAGCTGTGAACAAAATTAGTATGACAGGTCAGGGTGCTACTGAGCATGATGGCGCAGGAAGACCCTTCTAGTCTAGTATCAGTTCTCACATATTCAAGAAAACCATAAAATTCAGTTTTCCCCTCATTAGGCAAAGAATTGCTAAAGCAAAAGGATCGCTGTAGTTCATGCGACAGAACTCAAGTCTTTCCAGAGATAAGCATCCCCTTCCCCTAAAGTATAGTAATTGAGTTTCCTACCTAAACCTGGATAAAGAAACCTGCAAGATATATCCAAAACACAGGATGGGAAGAAAGAAATTAATTCCAATGCTTTACTCAACTAAAGAAGTGTCTTAACCTGTTTTTCTGAAGAAAGAGACTAATGCTAGCATAAGACCTTTGCTGCTTTTTGACTGATTTTGACCAAATCTGATAGACCCAAAAAAAAAAAAAGATAATTAAAATATTCAAATATCCTAGAACTAGGAAGCTACATGGAAGAGAAATCCTCAGTATGTGCTCAAACCAGGTAAGGTGCAACATGCGGTCACGTATTAGTAAATGTCAGAGAAGCCGAGCGCAGGAAAGGCAGTCATGGACGCCAGTAGTAAAGCACAGAAACAGGAAAATGTGGCCAGTCACTAAATACATTTCCTACAAGAACAGGCTTTATTACTTCCACAGCTGACGGGACATAGTTTGACCAGCAATACCCTGCAGCGCAGCTTTAGGCCAACATAATTGGTTCGATGGTGTTAAAAGTTCAATGTACTTACAGGTCTTTCATTTGGATCAATGAAAAATATCTTAATGATTATTTCAAATTCACCCCAGCCTGTTTCGGTGATTTCATACGGCGGTTTGGTGACAACTGCAGAAGGAAACAGAAGTGTGATTACAGGTGATAAAGCCTCCGTGGAACTAATGAAAATCCCAGTTCTAAGAACAAATGCCCAAATGCAAAACCCACCTCTTAAAGGATTACCGTAGCTTTCATGCAACTTGAATTGAATTTTTTTCACATAGGCAGACATATCCTAAAATAGAAACGTCGTTATTTCTCATTATTCACACAGCACACCAAACTACCGTTTATTCATCCATCCCACACGCCTATCATTTCTTCTGACATAGCTACCTTTAAAAGCAGTAGGAAAGCAAGATGGTAAATCCAAGAATTAGTACTGCCACACAGGTCTGTCGTTATTTTGTCCCCACGAATGCTTTCCAGTTTTCCCTGGCCTGGAAGATCACTCCAAAAAAATGTAAGAGGAAAAGTGCCTTCCGTCTCTTTTGCCTTTTTGGGAAACCACCAGGCTTCTGCCCTCTCCTCAGATCCCAGCTTTTTAAAATCCTGACAGCCAGTGAGGGTGTTTCTTGGCCCCCGCAGCAGGGCTTAGGGAGCTGCATGGTCCCTTCCTGCCCACCCTCTCTTCCCACGCCCTGGAGTCCCAACTACTCGGTGCTGGTGAGGCCGCACCTGGAATACTGTGTCC